CTCAGTGCTTGGACCACTTCTCTTCTCCATCTACATGTCATCAGTTGGATCTGTCATCCAGGAACATGGTTTTTCCTATCACTGCTACGCTGATGACACACAACTCTACCTCTCATAACTCCTTCCAGGACAGTCAGGAACCCTGGAATTGTGATCGTTTAAGCTTCACAGACCATACTGCTACAATGGCCTGATCCTGCAGATTTGCCTTATACAACACTAGGAAGATTAGACCCTTCCTATCGGAGCATTCCACACAACTTCTCGTCCAAGCTCTTGTTTTATCCAAACTAGACTATTGTAATGCTCTTTTGGCAGGTCTTCCAGCATGTACTGACAAACCTCTGCAACTGATCCAGAATGAGGCAGCAAGAGTGGTTTTTAATGAGCCAAAGAGAGCCCACGTCACAAGTCTTTTCATCAGTTTGCACTGGCTGCCAATAGCTGCTCGCATTAAATTCAAGGCTCTGCACCACTATACTTAAACTCACTACTTAAGACCTATGTGCCCTCCAGAAGCTTGCATTCTGAAATTGAACGGCGCCTTGTGGTGCCATTCGAAAAAGGCACAAAATCACTCTCATGGACCTTTTCCTTGTCTGTTCCCTGCTGGTGGAATGACCTGCCTGGCTCAATCAAAGCAGCTGAGTCTTTAGCCATTTTCAAAAAAACACCTTTTTCGTCAACACTTGACCCAGTGAAATTAGCACTTGCTTTTTCTATTTCTATTGTCTCTCTATTTATTTACTTATTATTTAAAAAAATCCTTGCTATGTCCACTTGCTGGAATATCTGGGACTTGTCACAGCACTTGCATACTGTTGCCCTCATGTTGATTTTATTGCTCCTATTGTTCTTATTTGTAAGTTGCTTTGGAGAAAAGCGTCTGCTAAATGATTAAATGTAAATGATAAACTTAACATTTCAGCTTTTAAACCATTATTAACTAAATGGATAAGTCGAAAGTATCATATTATTACTCTAAATTAAATCAGAATCAGAAGAGCTTTATTACCAAGTATGTTTACACA